CATTGTTGTTTTCATTTGCATCTCTCAGATGATTAGTGACTTTGAGCATGTTTTCTTTTAAGTCTCTTGGCCTTCTGTATGTCCACTTTCTTTCTTTTTAAAAAAATATATTTTATTGATTTTCCACAGAGAGGAAAGGAGAGGGATAGAGAGCTAGAAATGTTGATAAGAGAGTAACATCGACCAGCTGGCTCTACCGGGGATGTGCCCACAACCAATGTACATGCCCTTGCCCGGAATCGAACCTGGGACCTTTCAGTCCGGAGACCGACGCTCTATCCACTGAGCCAAACCGGTTTCAGCTGTATGTCCACTTTCAAAAAGTGTCTTAAGTCCTTTGTCCATTTTTCGATTGGATTATCTTCTTTTTGTTAAGATGTATGAGTTCCTATAAATTTTGGAGATTGGGCCTTTATCGGATATAACATTGTCAAATATGTTTTCCCATGCAGTGGGCTTTCTTCTTGTTTTGTTGATGGTTTCTTTTGCTGTGCAGAGTTTTTTATTTTGATGTAGTCCCTTTTGTTTATTTCCTCCTTAGTTTTCATTGCCCTAAGAGTTGTATTAATTGCTATGACACATGTCTGCTATCTATGGGTTCTTCTAAGATTTTTATGGTTTCCCATTTTATGTTTAAGTCCTTTATCCATTTTAAGTTTATTTTTGTATAAAATGTAAGGTGGTGGTCTAATTCAATTTTTTTTGCACATATGTTAATTTTCCCAACCCCATTTATGGCAGAGACTGTCTTGACTCCATTATATGGTCTTGCCTCTTTAGTCAAATATTAATTGGCATAATGGCTTGGGTCCATTTTTGGGTTCTCTGTTCTGTTCCATTGGTCTATATGTCTGTTCTTGTGCCAGTACCAGGCAGTTTTGAGAACAGTAGCTTTGTAATATAGCTTGAAATCTGATATTCTGATCCCTCTAATTAGTTGTTCTTCCTCCAGATTGCTGTAGCTATTCAGGGTCTTTTTTTATTCCATATTAATTTTTGGAGAGTTTGTTCTAAATCTGTGAAATATGCTATTGTTATTTTAATGGGGATTGCATTCAATCTAAAGGTTGCTTTGGGTAATATGGACATTTTAATGATGTTGATTCTTCCATTTTGTTATGTCTTCCTCTATCTCCTTTTTTCAACATCTTGTAGTTTTATAAGTATAGATCTTTTACCTCCTTAGTTAAGTTTATTCCTAGGTATCTTAATTTTTTTGGTGCGATGGTAAAAGGCATTGGTTTTTTTAAATATATTTTTATTGATTTTGTACAGAGAGGAAGGGAGATAGAAACATTGATGAGAGAGAGTCATCGATCAGCTGCCTCTCGCACACCCCCTACTGGGAATATGCCCGTAACCAAGGTACATGCCCTTGACCGGAATCAAACCCGGGACCCTTCAGTCCCCAAGCCGACGCTCTATCCATTGAGCCAAACCGGTCTTGGCGGCATTGGTTTTTTTTGTTTTGTTTGTTTCTCTTTCTGTGAGCACATTATTGATGTGTAAAAAAGCCATAGATTTCTGGATGTTAATTTTGTATCTTGCTACATTGCCGAATTCATTTATTAAGTCTAGTAGATTTTTGATGGCATCTTCAGGATTTTCTATGTACAATATCATGTCATCTGCGAATAATGACAGTTTCACCTCTTCTTTCCAATTTGAATGCATTTTATTTCTTCTTGTCTGATCTCTATGACTAGCAATTCTAGTGCTATGTCAAAAAGGATTGGTGAGAGCAGGCATCCCTGTCTTGTTCCTATTCTTAGGGAAAATGGATTTAGTTTTTGTCCATTGATGATGTTGGCTGAAGGTATATCATATAAGGCTTTTATTATGTTGAGGTATGATCCCTCTATTCCCGCTTTGCTGAGCTTTTATCAGGAAAAATGTAGCCATTTTTATTCTTTATTTATGCCTGTGTTCCTTCTTCTATTTCTATTTCTTCTTTTTACAACAGTCTCTTTAGCATTTCTTGCATTGCTGGCTTGAGAGTGATAAACTCCGTTAGCCTTTTTTTTTTTTTTTTTTTTTTTTTTTTTTTGTCTGAGAAGCTCCTGATTTCTCCTTCAATTTTGAATGATAGCCTTGCTGGATATAGTATTCTTGGATTCAGTCCCTTGCTTTGTATCACTTTGTATACTTCATTCCATTCCCTTCTGGCCTGATGTGTTTCTGTTGAGAAATCATTTGATAATCTAATGGAAGATCCTTTGTAGGTAACACTGTCTCTCTTGCAGCTTTTAATCAATTAACTGCTATATGTCCAAAATGGAATCCATCCCAACATGCCACAATATTTTGAATTTAGTTGAAAAAAACCTATTTGCAATGAATATAAAAATATTACTCACAATTCGGGTCTTCTTGAATATGTCCAGCTAAAATTCTCACAAAAATTAAAGTTGGCCAGAGTTGCCACTCAGATAAAAAAAAAAACACAATTTTTTTTAAAACAGATGCACATGGCATGTGGGGAAGGTCTGCTGCTTGCATCTACAGATACTAATAGCATACAATGGGTTAAGATTCTCTGTCATTAATGTTTGCCTTTGTAACTACGATGTGGTGTGGGTCTCTTTTTTTTTTTTGGTTCATCTTGTTTGGGAACTCTCTGTGCTTGTGTGACTTTTTTCTTCCACAAATCAGGGAAGTTTTCTGTCATTATTTCTTCAAATAGGTTCTCTCATCCTTTCTCTTCTTTTTCTCCTTGTGGCCCTGCTATCATATGTACGTAACTTGATTTCATATTGTCCCAGAGCTTTCTTAGGCTCTCCTCCTGCTTTCTAATTTTTTTTTCTAATTGTTGTCCACATTGTGTGTGTTTCTCTGCTCTATCTTCTAAGTCACTAATTTGGTCTTTCAATTCTTCTAATCTACTGTTGAAGATTCTTCTAATCTTCCATTGTGATTCTTATTGTAGCTACATCATTCTTAATTTCCTCTTGATTCTTACATAAGTTGTTGATTTTTCTCATTCGTCTGGTTTATGAACTGTATGACCATTACGCTGAATCTTTACCTGGCATATTGCATGCCTCCATTTAATTTAGTTACCTTTTTTTGGGGTTGATTATTCCATTTATTTCCTTTGGAGGTTACTTTGTCTTCCAGTTTTTGCTATCATCAAAGTGTCCAGGTACAAAGTTGCATGGGGCTTGTGGAGGAAGCAGTGGCTGGGCGGGAGGGTCATGTACCCTGAGAGTCATGGGATGGCTCAGGCGCTGACATGTGGGGCCCAGAGCCAAGGTGGTGGGCCAGTGGGGAGGGAAGCACACTCCAGAACTCACAGGAGCCTGTGTCCAGGGAGGCTGGAGTCCCAGTGGTAGCAGAGGCTCTATTTGGCCAGCCCCTGAAAGGCCTGCAGGATCTAACTGCCCCTCACTCACACCACCACACACCATACATGTACACACACTCCCCTTTTGCTCCCTCACTCACACTCTCACTACCATCCTGATGGCCACCATCTTGACTCCACAAATGGGAACATTTATCAGACATTTTTAAAGACATGAGTACAACTCTTGAAAGGAGTTCCCGGCCACACTAGTTGTATCGGGGAGACTGATGGCTTGCTAGGAAGAGAATGGCCAGGAACAAAGGCCTCACCCAGGACAATGACATGGGCTCCATCCACTGAGCACTGGACTCGCAGCTGGAGAAGGAGCTGAGAGGCTGACGGGGGGGGGGGGGGGGAAGAAGGGGGAAAGGGGGCATGGTAAGAGCTATACTGTTCCTCAGAGCCAGACCATCTGCTTTCTAAAAAGCAGGGACAGAAATTCCCCTCCAGACTTCGCAGGGGACAATAAATGGCAGCAATAAAAACAGTGTGGGGCAACCTTCTCTTTAAGATGCACCTCCTTTTCTGAACTTTTCCCTTTGTCAGAACTGTTACTTTGTCAGGCTTACATGACGTCAAATGGAAAGAAAATGATGGTCTGAAATGCAGCATATACTTTATAAACCTAGAAATTCTGCTCCTGGCAATGAGTTCCCTAAGGACAGGCATGCCTTGACGTGCCAGCATGTGATTCCACCACGCTGGAGAGAGGTGCCACATCTCGGTGGTCACCAACGTCAGAGACCCGCAGCCTGTGCTCCCCACCATCCCCTCACACTCTCTTAGACCTCCCCTTTGTAGAAAGAGCTTTCCTCTGTGGGCTTCTACAGAGCTTCAAGTGATGATCAGCTCTGAACGAAGTGTTTCCACTTCGCATGGCTCACACCTCGTCCCACCACATCCCTTGCCACACTGCCACCACCTTAAGTCTCGTAACTACCCAGGGTTGTCAGACTTAGCAACTAAAAATATAGATCACCCAAATTTGAATTTCAGATAAAAACCAAGTAACTTTTTAATATATCCCAAATGCAGCATGAAAAACATACCAAAAAAATTGTTATTTATTTGAAACTCAAATTTACTGGTATCCTATATTTTATATGGCAATCCTTTATCATCTAATTCTTTATTCAGTTTTAGGTACTATCTATTAATATTTAGGTTATCAAAGTATTATTTAATTTAGGTTGAGGATTTTAACCCAATTTATCCTCAGTTCAATGACATAAGTCCTGTGTGAATATCTAGTCAATTATAATTAAGAAAACAGTTGCAGAGCTCCATTGCTCCCTCACTGCCTCCTGTGGGTAACCAAGCATTTAATCCTGCTATCTTATCCAGAAGGGACTGGAGGGATGGCAGTAAGTAACTGATTGGTCTAGGACCATTTTCACCTAAAAACACCTTACTTTTAACACCCTCCCTTCACCAACACCCCTCAGAGGGGTCAGACAATAGGAAAAGGTCATTGGTTACCTGAGCACATGGCCTCAGTAGGCCAACCCCCTGCTTCTGAAACAGGAGGGAGGGAACCTAGGAATGTGGCCCTGGGAACAGGACTCCACGCTTTCAACTCCACCCTCTCCCCCGCCCTGGCCGGTGGCCAGTCTACCTGCTGGATGTAGTACCAGTGTGCGTGAGGCCCGCTTACCAGTGTGTGTGAGCATGTGCCTCTGGAGGGAGCTGGCCCAAGGGAAGACTCGAGGGCAGTGGGGACAGTTGATCTTCTGCAGGCAGTTGGCGTAAGAGTTCCGCTTTGTCCTCAGCAGCTTGTCTTCTGGGGGGCTGCCCTGCTCTTCATCACTGGGCCCGTTGTGGTCAGCAGGGGTGCCAGCCAACTCGTCCTGAGCGTCGTCCTCTGCTGTCTGCAGAAATGGACTGAACTTGTTGGTGTCTGTGGTAGCCAGCATCTTCTCAATGCTGGCAAATTCCCCGCTGGAATCCAGGTCTACTCCACCATTGCTGGCCCGGGGCCGACTCCTCAGCCCTTTTTTCCGGCCCCTCTTCTTTGACAAGCCAGCTGGCCCCTGCCCAGTGGGTGAAGCTGCCTCTGGACTGTCGGCAGCAGGGGGTGGGTCGCTGGATTCTTTGGGGCTAGTGGTCTCAGTGGGGGCAGGGGTGCCTCCTAAGCTGTCTGAAGCTGTGGTGTTGCTGCTGGTGCCTGTGGGCCCTGGGTCAGCCACCTTGGCTTTGAGCAAGGTGGGGGCTGAGGACACAGATGAGATGATCTGGGCAATGGAGGCCAGCGGGGGCAGCTCTTCTGTCAGAGGGGGCTTTGGCAACAGCAGGGGGGGCTTGGGGCGCAGAGGCCTCAGCAAGGCTGGGCTGCTTATCAGGGTGGAGCTGCCCACGAGAGGGGAGCTGTTGATGAGGGCAGGTGAGTAGATGGGGACAGTGACCTGAACGGAGCTCTGCAGGGGCTGAGCGTGGGCTTCCAGAGTAGTGGCTGAGGAGGCTGCTGCCGAAAGGGCCAAGGGTTTCTCCAGGATCCCACTGGACCCCACGGTCACTGGCAGAGTAGGGCGCGGAGGTGGACCGGGAGAGAGTTGCTCCCCACTCCCTGGTTCCTGCTCAGGCATCTTGGCTTCACTGGGAGCAGCTGACTCCTTGTCTCCTCTCCTAAAGCTCTTGGGGATGGACAGGTCAATGGGCTCCATAGAGCAGTCATAGGGGGCCGAGGAAGAGGGGCTCAGGAAGAAGGCCGAGTTTTCCTGCTTCACGTGGACCAGGGCCAGGCCCTTCTGGGAGAAGTCCAGAGGCTCATTGAAGTCCACTGAGAAGTTGCTGGCCGGCTCCAACTTGACAGAGACAGGAGGCGGAGGCTGGGTGGGGCCCGCATGAAGGTAGCCATTCTGGGCCTCCAGAAAGGCGGCGAGGGGTTTGCGTTCCCCAAAGGCTCCGCTGCCCTCCTCCACCCTCCCCGAGGCCTCAGCCACAGGGGCCTCCTTGGGGCCCAGGCCATCTGCCGCCAGGATGTAGCTCTCGATGTCATGCTCCGGCACATGCAGGTGCTGCTTCAGGATGTGGTGGACGCAGTTGCGCTTGGCTGAGAAGGTGGCGCTGCACTCCTTGCACTCAAACGGCTTGTGGCTCTTGGGGCAGCCGCCCAAGCCGCGGCCGCAGTGCGTGCGCATGTGGATGCGCAGAGCGCGGTAGTGCTTCAGGTCTTCCCCGCACAGCCGGCACACTGTGTCAGGGGAGCAGAAGGCGTCCACCATCGCTGCGGCGCTGCTGGTCACATACTCGATGTTCTTCTCGATGTCCTTGCGGGTGGCCTTGAGATGCTTCTTGCGCAGGTGCCGCTCGCAGTTGGCCTTGACGGTGAAGGGGTAGTGGCAGATCTTGCAGATGTAGGGCCGCTCGCCGCTGTGCGTGCGCAGGTGGCGGATGAGCGCGGCCTTGTCGGCCGCGATGTAGTCGCAGATGTTGCACTGGTATGGAGAGACGCCCAGGTGGGAGCGCACGTGAGCGCGCAGCACCCCGGAGAAGGCAAACACCTGGTCACAGAAGCGACAGGGGTAGAGCACCTTGCGCATGGCTGGCGACTTCTTGCTGCCGGGGGCCGTCATGATGGCTTTGAGGTCCCCCTCTGTTATCTCCTGCTTGATCTTGGCCTCCATGCTCAGGGGCAGCAGGGCCTCGATGATGCTGTCCTGCTCCAACTGCGTCTTCATCTCAGCCTGACCCGGCAGCTCTGCGCGGGGCTGCTGCAGGAAGAGCTGCATAGCCGTGTGCGGCTGGGCCCCGGACTTGGACTGCAGCAGGTTTGTGCTGGAGGCCACCTCCACCGAGCCTTTGAGGAGCTTCAGGGCCGGCGGGGGCAGGCTGGGGCTGATGCAGCCGGGGGAGGCCTGCTGGGCGCTGAGGAGAGGGGGGGGTGTTGAGGTGGCCACCACCGTCCGCGGCGTGACCAGGGGCTTTGGCTTCAGAGGGGGCATGTGTTTGAAAATCGCCTGCAGAGGGGTGACGGGGGCCTTGGAGAGAGGCGGAAGACTGATTTGAGGGGGCGCTGAGGCTGCCATCTTCAGGATCTGCTGGATGTCAGCCAGCTCAATGGCCGACTCCCCGGAGATGGGCTTGACCACAATACTACTGTCAGGCTGAATGATGAAGCCCTTTTGGAAAGGCTGCAGGGACAGGTGCTTCATGCTCCCCTTGGCAGCCGGGAGCACTGTGAGAGAACTGCCCAGGGAGGAAGCTTCGAAAGGAGACAGCCTCAGCACGTTGGCGCAGCCAGGTTCCTGAGGTAGCTGACACTTGAGTGCCTGGAACTGTATTGCTTGGTTGTCATCCGGCGGGGGCTCCTCAGCTGGGACGGGCTTGACGTCTTTGGTGTGCTGCAGGCCCAGCAAGGCCAGGAAGACCTTCTGGTCCACGGCGTCATCAGGTAGGGTCTTGGCTTGCAACCTTTCCCGTCCCTGGTCCGCAGCGACATGGGTCTGCTTGTGCAGGGCGAGCGAGGAGAGCATGGGGAATGCCTTGTCGCAGATGTCACAGACAAAACGGTGCTGCTCGCTGATGCACCTTCGCAGGTTTGTTTCACACCAGGCCTGCAAAGTAAGGAATCAAGAGGATTTCAAAATCATCACTACAATGAAGAAAGTATCTGTTCTACAGCTATTGCAGTATCCATAACATATGGGAGCTGACCTTTCCCTGCTCACTAACTTCTGGATTGAATAAGGAAATCCACAAGCATCTTAGGTACCGAGTTTTCTTGATGAATGACACCAACCCCAGGTATCTCAGCAGTGAAGCAAGTTAAGTGATAATACCATAGTGGTAGGATTTTCATTTTAAAAAATGGGTGTCTTGCAAAACTAACTGATGGTAGAGAACCCCTGTGCTGTCAGGAGAGAGGGAGGACCACCTAGGGTTACATGAGTATACACATATGGGTGATTACATATGGAATTGAGCTTGGGGCTTATGCACTGGAAGAATTTCACTGTTGCTATATTTTATCTCAATTTTTTAAATTTGGAAAAAAGTAGTTTCAAAGTAGTTTATAAGCAGAGAACAAATATGTCTCAGGTTAATAACAATCCCAAACATACTATATAATAAAAGAGTAATATGCAGATTAACCATCACTCCAACACACAATATGGCTGCCCCTATGTGGTCAAAGATCCTGCCGCTATGTGGACACAAGATGGCCACCACAAGATGGCCAGCAGAGGAGGGCAGTTGAGAGGGACCAAGCCTGGAAGGGAGGGCAGTTGGAGGCGATCAACCCTTTAGGGGAGGGCAGTTAGGGGTGACCAGGCTAGCAAGGGAGCAGTTAGACATCAATCAGGCTGGCATGGGAGTGGTTAGGGGGTGATCAGGCTGGCAGGCAGAAGCGGTTAGGGGCAATCAGGAAGGCAGGCAGGCGAGTTGGGAGCCAGCAGCCTTGGATTGTGAGAGGGATGTCCAACTGCCTGTTTAGGCCTGATCCCACCGGGCAGTTGGACATTGCTCGAGGGGTCCCAGATTGGAGAGGGTCCAGGCTGGGCTGAAGGACACCCCCCAACCTCTGTTCATGAATTCCATGCACTAGGCCTCTAGTCTATATACATAAAAGGCTAATATGCTAAGTGTCCCTCCACCCTTCTGACCAGTTGCTATGATGCACACTGACCACCAGGGGGCAGAGGCTCAATGCAGGAGCTGCTGAGCTGCAGTGACTTGGCAGCAGTGGTTCTGGTGATGTACCTAAAACCAGAGAGGAGGGAGCCTGATTCCTTGTGAACCTGTGCGATTCCACCTTCAGCTGTGGGTTATGTTGCTGCTGGGGCTCTGTGAGCCTCGAATCTGGTTTACTGCACACTTGCGTTTGCATTCCACACCCTGTACAACACCAATTTTGCAGAGTGCCCTCTTACACTTGGGACCCCTCAGGGGATGTCGGAAAGCCAGTTTTGGCTCGAACCCCACAGGCCAGGCTGAGGGATTCCACCTGCCAGAGGGACCCCACTCACTGCACAGATGTCAGGGAGGGACTGCTAGAGGTTGGTTCCAGGGCATGTCTGGCCCTTCTTGCCCAGATTCGTCCTGCCAGCCACCTTCTAATTAATTTCCTTTCAATGTGCATGAACCTGTACTCTGGGTCACTAGTTTTAAATAAAAAACTACAATGCTGAAAATATTTAGCTGTAAGACTAATTAAAACTACAAATTGATGTAATTAAAAATATAAACTTAGCCCTGGCCAGTTTGGCTCAGTGGATGGAACATTGACCTGCGGACTCAAGGGTCCCGGGTTCGATTCTGGTGAAGGGCATGTACCTAGGTTACGAGCACATTTCCAGTAGGGGATGTGCAGGAGGCAGCTGAATCGATGTTTCTCTCTCATCAATGGTTTTAACTCTCTATCCCACTCCCTCTCTGTAAACAAACAAAAAAAAATCAATAAAAATATTTAAAAAAAATATAAATTTAATTCTGATAGGACCTAAAAAATGGGCAAAAGCTCTGATGAGCTAGACTCAGATGTAAGTGAGGGGGAAAAAAATGGAAGGCCATTTATACCTCTCAACACAACCACCCAGAAAAGACTAAAAAGAACAAAACTGAATTTTAAGAGGAAAGGTGTTAATAAAACAAAACCCAATGGACCTCATTTCAAGGAAAGGAAACCTCCGTGTGAAGAATTTAAGTCCAACCTTGGACCATGGCGGAGACGGTGCTGGTTCTGCCCGTCAGCATACCTGAGAAATCCGAGGAAACTTCCTACAGGAGAAGTCGGTGAACCCCAAGTCATGGAAGCCAGCAGGAATGGAAGGGTTGTTCTGGATGAAAGGCCTTCCCGTTGCGTCTCTGGGAAGCTGCTTGTGGACAAGCGCGTTGTGGCGTAGCAGTCCTCGATGTGTCCGAAAGGTGACACAGCAAATGTCACACCTGGGAAGAAAGTGACAAATGTAAGGAGACAGCGAAGTCAGAATTTCCACCTGTCCATTAATCTTATTGTATTTTCTTGTCCTTTGATCTATAAGTAAATGAAAATAAAGTGATAAATTATTACAATAATGAAAACAAGGATGATATAACATATATTATAGAAGCCAGTCTGCTCACGGTTAGCAACAAAAATCCCTTCCTTAAAAAGAAACTATATCCTAACAATTTCTGGGTTCCCGTCTTTGCAGACAGCACAGGTATGCACACTGTCGCAGGCCTATTTGTTCTGTCACACAGAGTGATCCTTTCAAAGTCTCCTCACTCCCTCTGCTCAATGTATTCTGGTCATAAAACATTTTGAAAGTCAAAAAGCACAAATTTACGCAGCATCTTGGGCAATCACATCATCATCCCTGGTATCTGGTCAAGATAAGAAGATAAACTCTTCAACTGTAGTAGCAGCATGTGACGGTGATTATGATTCATGCATTAAATTCTGATATTGTTGCCGAGCGCTATCTGAAGAATAACCACAGTCCCCCCCACGGGCCCACACTAAGGGCAGTGGCACGACCCTGGCAGGCAGGCAGTCATCACGGACGAAAACACTAAAGCTGAGGGCACACGCCTTGTAAGAAGCAAACACGAACCGTGAGGGTCCACCACTGAGGCTGCTCCCTTTCCCAGGAGCCCCCACAAATGCTCTGCTTTAGAGATGTTTTCCTCTTTTGCCGTAACTGTCCTCAGAAACATGGATGTGTCAGAAATACCGTTTTTAAACACTTTTCTCCACTATGACACTAGTGCTGTCCTGAAGGTCTTTGCCGAGAACCACTATCTTAAAATCTATAGATCATTAGGATGTTGTCAATATCCCCTACACTGTGATTTTCAACCTTTTTCCTCCCATGGCACACATTACTAATTACTACAATTCTGCGGCACAGCAAAAGTATACATTTTTGCTGACCTGACAAAAAGGTATAATTTTTTGATTCATTCACACCAGACAGTTATTGTCATGTTGGCTGTTGTCATTTTTTTTATTTGACAATCTAAGGAAAAAAAGAGTCCTTGCCCCTGACTAAATACTCAGTATTGTATCTTTTAAAAATTCTTGAGACACACCATTTGAAAAATCTCTGGCCTACGCCATCACTAGAGCTACAGATGGTTATTTACATGTAATTAATTAAAATTTCCTCAGTCACATTAGCCTAATTTCATGGGCACATTCCTATGATCACAGTACCATGTGCCAAGCATCATTCCAGTACTTACACATGTAAGCACATCTGCTCCTCACTAAACCTCTAGGGCAATTCCTATTATTGTTCCACAGAGGAATAAAGCCCTTAGACTGTAAAAAAATAAGGACAATAGCCAACACAATAGCCACCAGTATGAATGAATCAAAATTACACTTTATTTTTTGTCAGACTGGCCAAAATTGTATTTTTTGCTGTTCCACATTATTTTAATCATTAGTTTATGTGTGCCATGAAAGGAAAAAAAAGGTTGAAAATTGCCGTTTTAGATGATGATAATGTCTTGTCTATATTACTTAGAAGTCCTTTTCCTTTACAGATATATAACGGTGCACAAAATTCATTCACAGGAAGTGGGGTGGGGAGCATCCCTCAGCCCGGCCTGCAACCACGCCAGCGTATCGCGCCCGGGCCTCTGGCCAGAGGCCCCCTCCCTCCCTCCCACCGTGCACCCTGGGCGTGGGACGCTGGGCGTGTGTTGCCCCCAGAGACCCCTTTCTCCCTCCATGCAGCTGGGGCATTGGGCTTGTGCTGCCAGCATCCTGCCCCAGCTGCTATGGGCACCGCCATATTTGTGACCAAGTGATGGTTAATTTGCATATCACCCCTTTATTACATAGGATGAAATGTGTTGCCTGGGATTTGTTTTGAAATTATCTGGGGCAGGGAAGAGATGACACACAATTGTCTGTGGGTAGATAATTCCTGAAACTTGAGTGATGCGTGAGGGGGTCATTAGATTAGTCTCTCTACGTCTGCATGCGTTTGAAATGTTCCTTAATACATCTAGCAAAACATCTCATTACAAATGGCTAATGAGAGTGGGCTGACTTTTTGCCTCCTTTTTTCAAGGGCCAACAATGTCTAAACCACTATTTGCTGTAGGTGTGTGTGTGGGGGGGGGGGGAGGAGGGAGGGGGGAGTACGCAGGGTGTTTTCAATTTATGGAAACTCCAGAAGAAAAGCCTCTGCACTGAGTCTCATGTGGTGCGGGTAATGCAAAGGAGCCCGTTTTTCCAGGAAGGCACTGGGCAATCAGAGGGGCCAGGGGCCTACAGGAGGTGAGAGCCCAGGGCTCAGGAAGGCCCCACAGTGTGGGATTTACAGGCTGGCAGAATACGCCACCCAGGATGGGCTGGGTGGTGAAGCCTATGGCCCATCTAGTTTGGTACTTTATGAACTAGAAATAGTTCACATTTTCTCTCTCCCTTCCCCTGTCCTGTCTGGGGCGTAAGCAGGTAAGGTTTGGGAAACTGTGGGAGATGGACGCTGGTCCATGCCTTTCCTAGAAAGTGAGACTAAGAGAACTAAGAAAGATTGAAGCAAGCTGTAGCCCAGTGGGCCTTACAGGCACCTTCCACTTGAAGTCTACACTACCTCGGAACATCCCAAATTCAAAATTAGCACTACCTACATACATTTTGTGCAGTGTTTTAAATTCATTTTTTCTAGTACCAGGAACTGTTCTGGATGCTGGATCACTATATAGTTGAGTAAACCATAGCTCTGAGGGCTAAGAAGGTGGCTGGCTGGGATCAAAAAAAGGAAAGAAAAAAGGAAAGAAAGAGCAGCCATTACTGCACAGGGATCTCTCCAAAAACTGCATTTAGCAGAGAAAGAAAAGGGAAGTAAGAAAGGGAGGAAGGAAGGGAGGAAGGGAGGAAGGGAGGAAGGGAGGAAGGGAGGAAGGGAGGAAGGGAGGAAGGAAGGAAGGAAGGAAGGAAGGAAGGAAGGAAGGAAGGAAGGAAGGAAGGAAGGAAGGAAGGAAGGAAGGAAGGGAGGGAAGCCATTACAGCACAGGAATCTCCCCACAAACTGCACTTAGCAGAGAAGCCGCCTCAGTGAACTACCTGTCTCTGCACTGAACTGCCCTCTGAGCCAGCCCTTATAATAGTTTCCTGGAATCCTATTTCCACCAATAGGACTGAAGCATTCCCTAGCCAATCAGAGATACACAACACTGACCAATCAGGGACCAGAGGTGGGGACTTCTGTCTATATAAGCCAGCTCCCCAGTGGATCTGGGAGCACACTTTCCCACTTTCCACCAAAGACTGGTTTTCCTTGGCTGGAGCTGAAACACTTCAGATTTCTCAGGCCCAGCACTGACCAGTGGGAAGGGGGGCAGAGCAGAGTGGCCCATCACAGAGTGGACCATTCCATAGCAGAGCTGCCTAGCTGAAAGGGGCCTGGCCTTGGGCCGCCTGGCTCCCCGGCAGCTTCACAGGGAGCCGCTGTTCCACAACAGCGCTATTTTCATAGCCATGTGTTATTACCTTTGAGCTATTTGCACTAAATAAAGTTTCCTCTTTACCACACCCAAAATTGGGGAATCCTGTTGGAGTTTGAATTGGCACCAACAACCACTGGTTGACAAAATACATTCAGTTGATCCTCATTATTTGTGGATTCTGTATTTGTGAATTTGCCTATTCATTAAAATTTACTTGTAAACCCCAAATTAGTGCTTGCAGCACTTTCTGGGTCATTCATGGATGTGCACAGCGCTGTGAAAAACTTGAGTTGTCCTAAGCACGCATTCTCAGCTGAGGTCTAAAAAGGAGACACTCTGCCTTCTTGTTCAGCTGACATACTGTAAACAAGTGTCTTTTCTGCAGTCTATTTAGCAATCTATCTGTAGTGCTTTTTGTTGCTGGTTCTGTGTATAAAACGGCCCCAAAGCATTGAGTGCTGAAGTGCTGTCTAGTGTTCCTAAGTGTAAGAGACTGTGATGTGCCTTATGGAGAAAATACCCATTTTCGATAAATCAGAGTTGAACTGCAGTGCTATTGGCTGTGAGTTCCATGTTAATGAGTCAATAGTATTTAATAAATAAGGTATTTAAATAGAAACATACATAAAATGAGGTTATACATTCAGTTGATGAAATGTTGCAACCGTTTCATCCAGGAGCAATGATTCAGTATTAATTCTGTGTTCACGGTGCCTTTATCACCCATAGGGCCTGCCGGCCAACCTCCTTGTCCTTCCCCGCAGCTAGCAGGCCCCAACCCCCTGAGCTGGGATGGGGAACCAGGGATGGGTGCTAGTGGACGCAGCCCCTTTCCCAGGGGGGCCGAAAACCGGCTCCCTCCTCAGGGCTGGCGGCCAACCTCCTGGGTCCCTCCCATGGCAGGTCCCAATTTCCCTCTCGGCACTGGGCCCAAGGCTGGGGAACCAGGGGTGGGTGGCAGCAGACGTGGCGGTGAGGGAAGAGGAGGGAAGGTAGGAAGGTGGGGAACCATGCGGTGGTGGGTGATGCGCGGGTGGCGAGAGGAGGAGGCAGGAAACCTGATTGGCCCTAATCGCCAGCCAGGCCTAGGGATCCCACCCATGCGTGAATTGCAAACACTGGGCCTCTAGTAGAAAATAACAGAACCAACTATACACTTCTTCACCCATCCTATGTGTGAGGCCATGTTGCTGTCATTGCAAAAATCATTCTTATAGCATCTTTGATTTCCAGTTTAGTTTTTGAGCAAGAATCTACATTTTTATAAACCAAACTAAACCAGAATCCCATATTTTTATGATTATTCCTATATTTATAGGTGTCTTGCCCATCCTAAATATGACACAATTTTTTGCAAAACAGTCAAATATGGCTAATAACCAATCTGCCCAACTTAGACTATTCTTCCCCCTCCCTCCCCAACAGGAGATGTTTTAATTGATTCTAGAAAAAGAGGGAGAGAGAGAAACATCAATGTGAGAGAGAAATACCAATTGGTT